AGAGAGAGAGAGAGAGAGAGAGAGAGAGAGAGAGAGAGAGAGAGAGAGAGAGGCGTAGGTCTCGTCGTGTAGAGTAGGTCGCGTCGCCTAGGTAGGTCGCGTCGCGTAGGTAGGTCGCGTAGCGTAGCATAGGTTGCGTAGGTAGGTCGTGTAGCGTAGCGTAGGTTGCGTAGGTAGGTCGCGTCGTGTAGGTAGGTCTCGTCGCGTAGCGTAGGTTGCGTTGGTAGTTTCCCGCCCGACCGACAACGGTCCTTTCATTTCCCCAAGGCACCGCGGCGATCGGGGCCGTAAACGGCCCGACGGCCCGGATCCACCCGCGATCTTAAAACTTTAAGATCGCGGGGCGATCTGGGCCGTCGGGCAGGTGCAACCGCGAACTCGCCGCGCGATCTTAAAGATCTAAGATTGGGGCCCAATCCGGTCTGTCGGGCCGGTAGGTCCAAAGACGGCCCAAATTTCAGAATTCTGACATTAGCGATTTTTATAAGTGTAGGGATAGAAGGATGATGCACACATGCACCCGTTTTTTTTTGTTTTTTTTTTTTTTTATATGAAACAACCCGGGTGATTGCTAGGGGCGCTGGTAAGAGCAGACGCCTCTAGCAAGCCTGGGGAGGCTCCATCTATTGGTGGGGAGCAACACCTGCTGGAAAATGGGTCCAGCGTCCCTATGAACAATCAAAAATCATGTAAACATGCCGCGTGACCATCCTACTGTAAACAAAAGAGCCAATGCACCGGCAAGCAGGCACGCAGCGTTATCCTAATGAGCAGCGACGATTGCTCTCAACCGAGGAATCGGCTGCCCGTCACTTCATAAGATCATACCCCTACTCAACAATCCTCACCGTGTAATCAAATCTTCCAGCACCATGGGGAGGGGAGGGGATAGTCCAAATAGGGAAACCATCGCTAAAAACCCTCAATAGGGAAGCTATTGAAACACTCACGTGACAGGGCCATGACACCCCCACTGCCCCATCTTGTCTACCACGAGGCGAATCCTAGTGTTTATACCACGGGGATATGAACCCCCGGATGACCTAGCGAAAATCGAAATCATATGGTCATGCCACGTGGCAACCCCAATGTAAACTAAGAGATTTGTCCGAGCGGCAGCGCAGGCACATACCCTAAACTCACATCCGCAGAGCCATGACACCCCCAGTGTCAAACTGCTACCACCTTTCTATCCTAGTCAAACTGAGGTTGCGCGACCTCGAGGTAGTACATGCCTAAGAGCATATCAAACGGCAGTTCGTCGCTAACCAGGAAGCAAATTTTATGGCTCATTTCCCCTCCTCCATAGGAAAAGGTACAGACTACGTCCTTGACATAGTCTTTTACCAACATTTGGTGCTTGTTGGCCAGCGTAGAAGCTACAATTCTGCTAAACCGCTGCACTTGATCCCCTAAGCGCAGTCTATCCACACAAGCACGACTGATGAAGTTCCGTGTAGAGCCTATGTCTGAGAAGACGCCAACTTTGCGACCACCTACATCAACCTCTACCACAAAATGTTCACCCTTTGGACCTCTACTGATCATCGCCCAAGAGTCCCTAGGGTCCTTCCCTGACCACTCAGTCTCTAACTCTTCTAGGGCCTCAGACACATCTCTCGAACAGAGCGTCGGTGGGTCTGAATGTGTCTGCGAGGCGATACATGGGTCACTAGCCTTGGCCAACGCCTGAAGTGGGGAAGGCAACGTTACCACTTCAGCGCGAGTAAGAGCGACTAAAACTCCTACTGGCCCGAGGTGTTTCCCTGCGAAGTGCTCGCAGAAGCACTGCCAGAATTCGAAGAAAGTCCCACCACCGTTTGTGAGGCTACCCTCGTAGTGACCTTTTTGCCTCGACACATTCTAGACGTGTGGCCAAAGTTGCCACAGTTCATACACGTGCCCCTGGCAACTCGATCCCTCCAAACCTCGTACTCTAAACCAAGTTTCACCCAAGCGGGTGTTCCTTGGTCGCCCTGACCCGTAGACTGGCCTACCTTCTTCTTCCCGGTCCCCCTAGCCTTTTCCTTGATGGGTGCCACGACTCCCCCATCCGAAGTCTCACTGGCCCCATCATGCTCTGTCTCCTCCCCAAGGTCTGGGAAGTCGTCAATTTCTGTCGTCTGACCATTGTGGTCGACGAACATTAGTTGACCTTTCTTTTTCCAGTCCTGGGGTAACCTCTTTTTCCTACCATCTCCCTGACTCTGATGCGAAGATCCCAATTTTGCCTCTATATCTAAGGCCTTCTTGCTGAAAGAGGCGAAGTTGTGCTGCTCGACATAGGCCTCGTCTACCAGCTTTGTCCTAACCTCTGAAGGTAGATATCTAAGGTAATCCGTAAGGAGTACCTGCTGGTCATAGCGCACACCAGGTACCACGAGCAGACGTTCTACGGTGTCCGTTAGCTCTCGAACATTCTTGTACCTCCTGGCACAAAGACTTTTGATTGCATCGGTAGCCTTTTGAGCCCCTTGAGGGTCATGCCACCTGTTGTACACGGACCGTACGAGCTCTTCCAATGTCTGGGCTTGGGCCCAGGCATCGAAGTTCTGATCGTAGCCTTACTGCTGCACTAGGCCATTCAACCAACGGGTTGCTGACCCCTCTAAAAAGGAGGCAGCTACAACAACTTCTTGCTCTGGCCTGGTAAGTTTGTGCCTTACATAGGTACGCACCGCCTTACCCAGGTATCCAAATCCTCGTCCTTCTTCCTGTCGCCGGAGAAGGGCTTAGGACACAGCAAGGGTATTTTGGGCATCCACTGTATAGGCTGCATGGGCCCAGGGGCTTGCTGCAGTGGCTGCATAGCCACCGAAACATGTTGCTACACACTAACCTGGGCCTGACTTGAGAGTGGGACTGTAGTAACCACTGTCGTCGATGGTACGGCTGAGACTCTATGAACCGGACGACTAGTTGCTACAAAACCACCTGGAGGGGGCATGCCAAACATAGGTGAGAATGGAGGCCCTACCGGCGGCAGCGTCACTGATGGACCCGCACCCGAAGGGGGAGCTACAACATACTGAGGCTGTCTCATCATGGGACGAGGAGCCCGTAGTGCAGCCAAAATCTCTTTCTGGCCTGCCACTAGTTCAGCCAGCACTTCTTGCTGGACAGCTTGCGCTTCCGCCACACAAAGAAGCGAGTTACGCAGCGCTCGTATCGCAGGGTCAAGCACTGACTCATCTAATGATTCCAATTTGCCTAGCTCCTCTCTCCTACTATCTAGTCTAGCTTTTCTCATGATTGTTCTCCTTCTCCTCTCTGCTGCCTCATCCAATTGCCGTTGTAGCTCATCCTGAAGTTCTTCTGCTTGGAGGATCTCATAATCCTCCAGCGTGAGTTGAGTCTGCTGCCTGACTCGCAAGCCAGCACTCTGGCTAATGGACCCTTGAGAACCACTCTGACTAACTGTTGAGGAAGTGGCCTGTGAAGAAGCATGCGACATGGTAGAGGAAGTGGCCATGGTTGTACTGGTGCTAGCTATAGTTCTAGACCTGGCGCTATCCTCAGCTACCCTCACTCTCCTTCCTGCTGCTCTCTCTCTAGCCTCTTTCCGCAATCTCCTCTCGTCTCCTGGACCTAACTCCAAGAATGTCAAAGGTCGACTGCGAGCAGTCCCACGAGTAGTTCTACGGTCGTCCACTAACAACTCCTCCTCACTTGTGCTTGCATCACTCATGAGCTACAGTGTGTGTGATCTAAACTAGAATCCACACTGAATCCTACCTTAGCCTGACACACAACTGATTACGAATCATAACAAAAACAGTTAGGTGATCTAGTAACAACTAATGTCAGATCCTACAAGAAATATCACATTTATTTTTAGATTACCCTAGAACAGATTGCAATGCAGCAAAGATCTAATCTGTTTGCAGTTGTCTGTCAGTTGTTAGTCAAGTCTGTAACAACTAGATAATCAAGAATATAAATAATATCTCATGTTGGAGATGTATACTGGATGGCAGATTGTCTAATGATTGCCACTGTGAACAGTTACCGGGATCCCCCCTCCCCCTGTATCCTTCTTGAGTTGTCTCTTTGTGTCGACGCCCTGAGCATCTGGTTGAGCAGCGTGTCTGAAGGTGTGCAATCCGGCCCACCCCTGTGCCCCAAGTCAACGCCGAACCTGCGAGCCCCTGCACATTATTTACCCTTGCATGCAATGAGCCTTACACCCGGTTTGATCTGGCTGATCAAGAGGCATTTAAGGAGATCCCCTGTAACTCCTCAGGAATTATTTAACGTCACAGAAAGGACGACGATCACAGCCAGAATCAACACCGAGTCCCCGCCAGAAATATTTAGAGACGGTCTGGTAAGCGTCTGATCCAAAGGGCTGGCATGCCCTGCACGACCTCTATTGCGCAAGCGGCAGAACCAAGGACTTGCGGCAAAGCATGCGTGTACTAGTCCCAGTGGGTTGGCATGGTGACCGTGACCCGAGTGCTTCGTCCAGGGCCCTTCAAAGGCTTCGCCCGTCTCCCACCAGCTTGCTGCCCAGGAAGAATGTCGACTCTCAAGGTTGAGCGCTCGTGACACCTCACATCGAGAGGACTCTCAAAACAAGACTCACTTCCTCACGGTAAGAAGCAATGAAGAGGGTAGATAAGGAAGGGAGCAACACACCTCATAATGCTGCCCCCAACCACAGATTTCTCACCGGCAACCTGATGTGCATTTATGATGACCGGTCTTTGCCTCGGCACAACCAACAACAGAATGCAGTTCCACCTCGACTTAATATGTCACATCAGCGAGCTCTCATCATCCAGCATACTCCCGCACGACCCTGGGCCGCCTTATGTTCAACACCCAAGCCTTATCACTACCACACACCTCATGCGAAGCACCGAACAGCTATTGCGAAGAACCAATGAAGCACAACGTGAACCAGCTCCGATACCAAATTGCAAGGAAAATGAGCAACAGCGAGATGACAAATCCAGATTACACAATCACATTGAAAGCCAGATAGTCACACCGTGTCCAGAGAGCAGCATTGCACCAATAATACACCAATGGAGGTTCGTAGTACTGAAAACCAATGTCACGGAGAGCTTTCTCTCTCCACACCAACACAAGAGTCCAGTCCCTTCTCTCCTACTTGGCGCTCAGCGCCCAGCCTACTCCTACACAGCTATTATCAGCCTACTAATTGATAATGCAACTGTTGACATCAGCGGCAACCCGAAGTACTTGAAGATGTTGCTCAATGCAGACCATCGCCAATACAAGGTATGTGCCCTCACATCATCATCATCATCATCCTTCACCCTTCCCTGACTTTACACCCACGTCTTCCTCCCTTACACCCGAAGACCACTCATGCGCCTCACTGTAGTCCAAGGCCACCAGCTATGGTGGCTGGGCTATGGCGCTGCCCTCAGCAGCGCCCTGCTTCCCTGCACGACCGCACGTGCTGCACCTCGCCTCTCAGCGCCAGCAGCAGCCCACGAGCATTTGCTCCAGCAGCGCTGCCGCTAGCATGCGAGTGCCTGAATGAGGCTGAGAGTGGCAAGCTCTTTCCTATATGGAAAGAGCCTGCCTGCTTCGCAGCCTGGCAGGACTTGGCCTGGGCCCAGAAGCTTCCGGTAGGGCCCAGGATGCTGCGTGCTACTTTGCAGCTACTGGGCCTCTTGTTGGTTGGGCCTCCCAACTGTCAGCGTATGGGGCTGCGTTTCTCGTCCACGGCCTGCATGCTTTGGAAAGGCCCAGAGGGCCGTGGAAATGTCTTGGTTGCTCAGCCTGTGTTTCTCTCAACCAACTGGCGCATTGCAACGGCCTGTACCCCAAATATGAAATTGACAGTCAAAGGCCTCTTGTAATATTTTAGGCCCGCCTTCACTTAGGGCGGGCACCACTGCAACCGGGGCCCCTTAGGCCTGCCGAGGACCCAGATCCTCGCATAAACAAATAAATAAATAAATGCTGTCTCCGCCGTGGGCCTCCAGGGCGCGTGTCGGGTGAGCACGTGGCCTGGGGGCCCCTCAGCAACCTTTGGGCCCCTCAAATGGGGCCCGTGTGCAGGCGCAGCATGTAACAGTCCACCATCCCACTGTCTTGCTGCCCAAGTTCACCGGCATGTCTGAGAGGGTGCAGAACCTGTTCCACATGTTTTTGGACGTCCTGGAGATTGTTGTGGATTGCATTCATCAGCAAGGACAGGTCATCAGCAAAGAGGGAGCAAATGGGATGGCTTTCTCTGGGATGCTGTCACATGGATTCGTGTCACAGTGAGACGTTGGTGTATTCCTAGGTTTGCGGCCAGTGCTCCATGATGATTATGGACAGACATGGGGCTGTAGGGTCTCCTTTGCCAGGCTGACCTCTGAAGTGGGACCTCTGGTGCGAGAGGTCCTGGACCATTGATTTGAACCCCAGTCATTGCTGTTTGGTGCACAATTGATACCTACCTCCCGAATCCTGCTCCTCTGTTGGTTGTGCTTTTCCTAACATCAGTCCAAGAGGTCCCAATCTACGTGGTCGTAGGCCTTCGCAAATTCAATGAGGATCAGCCTGAGGGCTGTATCAGCTATATCTTGCCACACTACTCTCGGAAGCTCAGTGATGAGCAAGATATTATCTTGGACATTGCGTCTGATCAGGGTGAATCACTGTTTCTATTACTAGCCCTTTCAATCTGTGTGCCAACAAAGGTAATGAGACGCCACTTTCAAAAGAGGAAAACAGAAAGGAACCGGCCACAACCAGTCCTCCAAGGCATCCACTGTAATTGGAAAGATATTGAGAAAATTATTAGCATCAACCGTCTGAAAGGATGACACCCATAAATCAAGATATGCTCCTTATCAAAAAAATGCCATGACCAACGGGTTTAGCTCAGATGGTACTACTACACCCATAAACTGTTGAAATGCAGATGTGAGTTCGAGTCCAGATGGAACCAGATGAACTTTAAATGCCTGAATTACCTAGGGACGGTCAGTTTCGTGATGATATCTCAAGGCTGTGTCTCCCTTTATTTAAGAAGGGAACAAAAGAGAGAAGGAAGAAGTAAAGAAACAAAGAAGGAAGAGGGCGGGGATGCCGTGAACTGGACACTGATGCCAGACTGGACACACGGACTGGATGCCGGCAAACGGACTGGATGCCTGCACACGGACTGGATGCCTGCACACGGACTGGATGCCTGCACCATTCTCACATATCCCTCCTCTTCCTTGGGTAAGGTCCTTGTTACATACTTCAATGAGTATGGGCAGAACCAAAGATCAACCAATGTAGGATGAGCATATATGCAGCGGAAGTCTGATAAACGGACTGACTCTCATAGACTGACTCACACAGACTGACTCACACAGACTGACTCAAGAATCACTCCACACACATACAATCGTGAGATGGTGGGGTCTGGGCCAAGCACAGATGATGCCCAGACCTCGTACACACATACACAGATGAGAGGTGGGAGGAGAGACGAAGGAGGTGGGGGAGGTAGACAGCACCGAAGGTCACCGAGATAGAATCTGATAGGTCACCGATATGGTAGTCCAAAAATGTCATCCAACAAGATCAAAATGTCGAGGGCAATAGGTCACCAATGTCCGAGGTACAGAGTCCAAATGTAACCGGTGTCCGAACTGTGATGCAGCCGAGTATCAACCCCAACAATCTCCAAGTCTCCAATC